CAGTCTTGTTGATTCAATGTTAACCTAGGATTTCGCAATAAAGTTCCAATTCTGACGACATGCTTTTTGAATGGCATGACGAACAAAATCTTAGTTCGGCTTCACCAGAAATGTGGGAGGATGTCTTTTGGACTACCCCATCATGAAAGTCGTATTTAAGCCAACGGCTTGCAGAACAACTGGAATTAACCGTAGTCGTATGATGAGATCGAACTATGAATTTCTTCATCATTTTATTTCATACGAACTCTAAGGCTCCACAACAACCCTACCAATTGGTTAACAGATGGATGTATTAATGACAGTTTCGAGTTTGCAAAAGGCCAATAAGGAAAGATTTGATAAATTCTATACGAAAACCCGTACCGACGTGGGACGCTTTATGCAGATGTGGTTGCTCGAAAGACAAGAGTAGTGTTTGGAAGAGAACATGCACACACACGCACAGATTTGCATCAGGAATGATAGGTATCGTAAGAATAGTTCCGTGCTCTAAGGATGTCCTTCAAGGGACATGCGAGACTAAGGCTTAGTATATTTTCACAAGACAGACCGTCCCAGAATCAACCGACAACAGGCACTGGAGACTCCGCTGTCGTCTTCTGGTCTTTCTGGTGCAATCTTACTCGCAATTATGGTCAAGTCGACACCGACAAACCATTATATAAATGGCATTTAGCCAAAGGATTTACGGTCCATTTTTGATGCAGGAAACACCAACGAAGTCCACGCGGGTAGCTCTGGTGTAGGATATAATCTATTCTTCGATCGGCTGAAATCCCTGATCTATGTTGATCAGAGAAAATCATTTATTGTAACCCTGATGGTTGGTTTATTTCTGAAGACTCGAAAAGAGGGTTTAAGTTGTCCAAAAATTTCAGCACTGAACTGCATTCTTCTGGTTAATTGTTTACAAGTGCTTATTTTCTCATTTTCCCAAAAAAAACAGTTCAATAAATCGGCCATCGACTATGCTCCAACCGGTCGGAATACTATGAGTGATCAAGTCGATTGGCTGGAAAGGGAGCGCCTTTTCAAAGTGGACGAACCGTACTGGAGTGACATGTATTAGTCACCCATGTTGGACCTTTTTCCCTTTCTTAATAGATAACTTAATTTGCTTTCAATCAATTACTACTTGTTTCCCACATATAGCCTCTTCGTCAAAGCATAACATTAAAAATGTGCATCGCGTCTTCTTGAATAACCCATCAACTTAAGTTTCCTTCGAGACTGCTGGGTTATTCCTCTGCCCAAATGACGTGAAATATGATACATTGACATGGAATATTTAAGTGGTATTGCCTATTGTATCATGTTGCCATATTGCAAGCGTCAGACTGAACCCAATGACAATTAGTATTTGCAAAATAGGTATCGGACCTGAGATGAAGCAGCTCAAATACTTAGATAGTATCCTCCATTGGAAGAAACAATGCTTTAGATTTCAATATGTTGCTATTCTGTGCTATTAGCCGTAAATGTTTAACCTCGTGCACAATAGTAGCAAGTAATGTGACATCCCTTTACATTTCAAAGAAAATGTTTAGAAAGAATTCTTGAATTGGTCTCACCAGAAACCGAAGGGAGATTGCCGCGGAATAAAGACCGTTGTAGTTTGAGAAGTCCTCAGCTCACCGTTCTGCAACTCTGATGAACTTGTGTTATGTTTTCGTCAGTCCTGTCTTAACAGACATCGGTATAACGAGAAACCTGTGCTAGCACACTCACTTATTATTACTAACAGCGATCCCAATGAGGCATTCTATGAATTGGTTGGCTAATTCATGCCTGACACATTTTTTAGATGAGGGAGGTTGGTACAAGAAAAGGGAGTGGAAGAAGGGAAAAGAATGTATGTTAAGCACGAAATAGCCAACCAAATCATGGGATACCTCAATAAGACAGCAAAGTGAATGTAATTACACAGGTCTCTCTTTCTCTGTCACAACAGGACGGACAAAATTTAGAACAAGCTCATCGAGGTAGCAGGATGGCGAGACAAGGACTTGGAGCAATCCTTCTTCAGGTTCCGAGGAGATCCATTTACGAATTCCTTAAAACCAACTTTTCCTTCTAAATGGAAAACAATGTCACAATAAATCACTAAGGAATTCTTCTAAAACCAGTTTTTCCCCATAGAAACGCATCTAGATGTCCGTTTAAGCGCAACTCTTCTCTATATATAAAATTTCGAGGATAAGAGTCCTAGGTTGGTGTCACCGAGGATGAAATGAATAAGCATTGCGTGCCGATGGGATGTCGATAATATCTATTCTTAAAGCGAAAGTTCGGTCGAAGCAAAACTGAGTTGAAATTCAGCTGTGTAGGTAAATGAGTTTTAGGAATGTAAAAAATCATTACGGATAAAACGACAAAGCACTCCCGAAGGAAAAGTTGGCTAAGAATGACCACTTATCCTTTTTATCCTAAATACCACGGTTCAAAACTAGAGAATGGTAGTCAAAAGAAAAAGACATAATTTGATTCGCAGCATTTCGATTCGCACTAAGAAAAATGAGAATATAAAAAAAACACCTGAATACGAAAACAAGCATGACTACATAGGATGTGGGAATTTCAGCAATAGGTTGATAAAATATAGGTTGAACAAAGGCTTGATAATTGGAATCTTAGCACACTATCGGCTTGCTTGGGAAAAAATATTTTAAAAAATAAAATCCAGAAAAAATAAAGATATATAGCAGTAGGTGAAGATAAAAAAATCGAGTCACGCGAATTAAGGGATGAGACCACTCTCTTTTAACTTTGACATCAGACTCTCTACAGAGTCAACTTTGATGCCGCCTTTTCGAACTGGTGGTTCCTCCGCAGAGATAATCTTCTGGTGCTGCTTCAGCTCCAAGCCAAAATCGGCCAAAGATTTGGTAGTAAGAGGCTTCTTCTTTGCCTGAAAAAAACCCACACCAAAAGTGTAAATACAGCAAGCCAGGAGTGGGCTTCTATGCAGGAAATTAAAATAAGAGTCTAATACTTATTAAAATAAAAACGAAATAGAAAAAAAAGACCAAGGCGGCTAAAACATACGAAGCTGTTTAAGTCTTTATCAAGCGCATTGATTTGGCCTAAATGAATGTTATCCAGTTCGCAGTTTTATGCCATAAAGCTAGTTTGACTGAAAAAATATATTTCCAGCTGAATAAGGTTTCAATTTAAATTACTGGAGGTCTTAAAAGATGCTAAGTTGGTATTTATTTTTTGTAAAAAAGTGACAAGAATTGAAAAATATAGATTAATTTTGCTAAAAAGAGCTTAGTAAGAAGATGCAAGGTGGTAATAAATGCCTAGGCCAAGAAGGAGAAGGCTCTCAATAGCTCATTCCTATACAAATCTGGAGAGCAAATAACTATGAATCACGCATATTAGACAAAAAATAATTTTTTGTGTGGTTAAAAAGAATATATTAAAATAATTCGTCCTACGCTAAGGCAAAAATAGAACTTAAGCAAAGGAATAGGAACTATGGTGATGAAATGCTGGTAATTGAATTGTCCCACAATGCCACGAGTAAGCATCACGAACCCAAGGAATTTCACCTATCTCCCAAGAGATATTCTTATCCAACCC